TCATTGAGATGAAAGCAAATTTTAGATTTATTTTATTATTTCTGGCGATTTTTAATGGGATCGTCTCTTCTGAAGAATACAGAAGATTATTCACAACGGATAAAGTGTATTTCGGATACAAGAACCGAAATGTAATCAAAGGATTGGCGAAATCGACAGATATCGGAGAATTTTCTTATCCGAGAATGAAGGATGTAAACCGATTCTCGAATATGAAGCCGAGAAACAGAGACGAATCGAATTTGGATGGAATGACACCAAAAGTAAAGGATAAACGAGATAAGAAATTAATGCGTGCCAATGAAGATAAGAGAATCCGTAAGACAATCGATGGTTTTTACAAATTTATAGAAGGAAATAAAAATAGAGAAATTTATAATAATGAAATTATCAAAAATAAAAAGCCTAAAAGAAACAAGAATCTTAAACCAAAGATAAAATGTTCGTCGCTATCGTCATTCAAACATAATCGATGGCTGCAACAACTCGGACACAAGACGAACGATAAATTCAAACGTAGAAAGGCTAATTGGAAAAAATCAAAGGCCAAGCACAATAGATTCGAGCATCCTCCGCTTTCTTCATCGAACAGGGGAAATATCGACAATGACATCAACGATCTTACAAATCCTGGAATTGGATCGAATGTCGACACAGAAAATGATAATTACGGCATTTATATTTTTGCAGTCGCTTTCGTTTCTCCATTCCTCGTGTTCACTATCTTGGCCATTCTCCTGTGTTTCATTTATTTCATTGTATATCTGTGTAAAAGGAGGAGATATTCAATAACACATTCAGAAATGGAATCTCACGAACGAAGATCGACAAAATCGTTTTCATACGAAAAAAAGGACGATGAAGAACCTTTACTCAAACAAGATACTTCTTTACATCAATCTCCTGAAAGTGACATCAAATCATTGATTTCCGATAAGATTTCAATACGCAGTCAATCTGACAGAAGTAAATATTCTGTCAAGGATCTTGACGACGAATCAGAATTTCGTAAATCTTCGACACATTCGAGCATTTCTAACAGATATGCTCCTAATAAAGATTCGAGCGGTGGTGATGATGAAGAGGAGAAAGAGAATGTTTCTCTTTTGACATCTTCGAATGAAACAGAAACAGAAACCAAAATAGAAATGATTGAGTTGGAGAATGAAAACGAATCCGGACAGGACTCACCCGAACACGTGTTTAAAGACAAGGAAAATAATAGTAATGGAAGAGAAGAGAATTTAAAAGTGAAGAGTTTCAGGAAGAAGAAAACCAAATGTTTACCTTGTATTAACCTTTAAAATTACTTATAATTCTTGCTAAAAATTAAATAAAAATTATATATTTAATTTCTATATTTCATTATTGACATCTGAGAACTAGCAATATAGAAAAAAATTGAAAGCAATTATTTATAGCTTTATATATTGGTATTATGAATTCTACAGCACTCTTCACTATCTTCAAAAATGTTTAAATTAGGAATTTCCCGAAATTCTTATGGATTCCCGCCCTACACTTCTTCAAGAAAGAATTGTAGAGTGAGTCCTCACTTAATTATCATCACTCTGTTATATATTTTGCACTTAATACAAATTAAAACGTATTTAATTTCTAAATTTGTATTGAGACCAGAAGCGTGGAAAGACGTCGCCGGGTCCGAGGGAAATTTACACTGTACTTCTACAATTAATTAGCGCGTAAAAAACAAATTGTGGGATGATGCCCTGGAAATTTTACCTCATCATCTTCTCTTTTGTCATTATCATCTAATAATAATCACTTCTATTTTGGCAAAAATTATAGAAAATTTTTTACAAAAGCTTTTCAAATTGTATAAATAAATTTAAAATTGTTCATCGTTATCAATATGCTTTCAAACAGGGTTTTTCCTAGGGTTGCCACCTGTCCGGGTTTGACCCGGAGACTCCGGGATTGAGTAAGTTATCTCCGGGCTCCGGGTTTAATTAATATTTCTCCGGGTTGTGCAAGTTGAAATGAATATGCACAAAATTATATGCAAACCGTCGCATATATTTCTTTTCCCATGCACCGAATTACTAGTGTGGTAGTCGTTGGCATTAGGCATAGTGCTGCTTTTTTTTGCTTGTACGATTCATTCGTAATCATATACACCTCCAATATCCAATAGAGCTAAGTCACTCGCGTTACTCCTATCCAAGTCTCCCTAGTCGCTAACTGTAACTGATTTAGAACCGGCATGCACTGCAAATTATTCTTCGCATTGCAAAATGACATTGCGCATGCGTCAGGAACTTCTGTTCGAACGAACCTCACCTGCCCTCCGGGTCAGCGACTTTGAAAAGGTGGCAACTCTAGTTTTTCCACGATGGATGCGTTAATGCATCTTAAGCAATTAATTACGTTGCAATTGGATGGATCGAGTTTGGTGATTTCGGTTTTTGTTCATCTCTCTAAAGCGTCTAATCACAGCAAACACACAGATGTTCTTGTCCAGAAAAACTTGAATTTACTCACCTTAATTACGCTCTTTGATAAGGGAAATGAAGAGGCAGCAAGAGTCCTTTTTATTAACTGAAACTAGTTCCAACACGACGACGGTGTTTATTTAATAACTGTTAAAGCACGAATGATCTTAATTGAATTGAAAGATGATAGCTACATAAAGTTTGGAAGTTTTACAAACGAGAAAGATATAGCCTATATCGATTTGTCTGATATTTTGTATTTGTTATTTGGGAGGGAAACTAATTTCTTGTCCGCTTTAATTACGTTTTATATTTAAAATTTCTAAAAAAAATACATGGTTATTTTATTTATTTTGCAATATAAAATAATGAATTTATATCTTTTACATCTGTGCTGAGATTATTACACAACATGATAAAGAAAATAAGTGTGAATGAAAACTTCTTAGCACTCGCACTTACTCGTTTGCCGTTTTATGTTCTAAGATAAATTACATCAGAAAATTATTATTAATTTTATTTTTAATTGTTTTAACATGTCCTTTCAATGTGAAAGCCAAAATTGCTACTTATTATAGTCATACTTACTCATGCCCGATATTTTTCNCAATATTCTTATGATAAATAAATATTTTATTGAATTATATGTTGACCATTTTGGTCAAATACCTGTTGTCGTCGTTTCTGGTAGTAGCACGATTTCACATTCATAAAAGTTTTGATCGTTGCTTACAAAAAACCGATCCAAGTGATTTTTGACATTGTCATTTCAAGTAAATGTCTTACAGTTAAAAAAAATTGTATAGATCAGAACAAGTAATAATCTGAGTGTGCTCGATCTGGCGAATACTGTTGGTGTGATAGCATGTCCCATCTAAGTTAATTGATGAGTTACCAAACTTGTGTGAAATTTGACATCATTGTGGTAAAACACTACACCTGTTTTTTTTTTAATCAATTCTTTATCAATTTTTCTGTTTGATGATATTACGCAATTTGTTTACTCGAATGCAGTACACTTTCGAATCAATTGTTAAATTGTTTGGTAAAAGCTCCAAAAAAATTTCCTTAATATCCCACCAAATAGAGCATTTCTCTTTAAGAACTCGTGGAATTCATATATCGAGCTTTGAAACGAACCAATTTGTTTCAAGTACTCATAAACAGTTCAGTTTGACAAATTTAATCTCTTAGTGATTTCATGTGTTGTTATTCCGCAGTTTGCATCAATGGGTACTTTTATTTTGTCTACATTGGCTTCAATTGGTCATCCATAATGTGGTGCATCTTCAATACTGAAATTGCGATAATGAAATTTTGTAAACCAGTTTTGGCACTGTCGTTCTGTCAACACATCTCCACCATACATGTCACACGATTTTTTTCTTGCTTGAACAGCATTTTTAGTTTTTTGGTAATAAAAACGCAAAATATGCCGAAGATGCTGCTTTTGATCTTCCATATTTGATGGGACACAAAAAATAAACAATTGCACGAAATCAAACAAAATTTTTTACAAATAATCCGTAAAATGCTAGCTGTCAAAATATATAATGATAATACGGTTTAGAACGAAAATGGGGGGAAAAATATGACTAATCCGTCTAGTGGGAAAAAAAAAACTAACTTACTTTCCGAACAACCCAATATATTTATACTGTTATGATTACTTCATTCCTTTTCATTGTGTTTAAATGTCCAAATATACAATATTTCAAAAATACTTATAATGTATTAAATTTTGTTGATTTCTGTTAGAAAAAACTTTTGTTTTTTCCTCTCTTTTATATTGATATATATTGAATACTGTATGGCAGGCATAGCCAACAAGTTGATTGGTTGATGGTTATATTATTTTTGGTCAGTCACATATAATAGAGCCTATTGAAACTCTAAAAACATTTGTAATTTCAGTAGAAATATTAATTTCATAATTTGCATGGAGAAATTTTAACTATTATTGTGAGTTGGTAACTCTGTGCTCTGAGAGATAACTTGTGGTGATCTTTCTTTTTTTTTGATTTTGGCATAGTGAAAAGAATGTGTAAATACTGAACAAGAACCATGCAGAAATGAAATATGCTCTATGTTGATGTTATAATTAGGCTATATATATTTTTTAATTATTTTGTCATAAACAATTCCAGTTATACTGTATATAAAGTGAGTGTGGAAAAGAAGAGCAAAATCTGTGATTTACACATTGAAAGGAAATAAAATTTTTTGTTATAGTGAAAAATTAGTTTTTACTGTTAGGTAAAAAAATTAATTTTAATGTTTTTACCAAAAAGAGGTAATATAAAATTTCAATTATTGTGAGGTAACAAAAATGTGATGATAGATCCTTGGTACTTTTGACTCATGAAAGTAGATTGTACCCCATTATAAGTTGGCCTGATAAATGGTATAGATATTTACAACCAGTTTATGAAATATTAATTAAATTATTTTGAAATTTTAGAAAATAGATCAATTGTGTCTATTTAATTTAATGAAGCAATTTCAGTTTGATTAAGAAAATAAACATTTCATATTAATTATTTTCAGGAATATCAGGTGAAAGAATATGGATGGAATGGAGTAAAATCTTAACAGGAAACCATTGCAAAGAAATAGTTAAAACGATGATTGAAATTGGTCTTTCACCCTATATAGGTAACTTGTTATATATAAATTTGTTTATTATCTGTTGATATTTTGCATTGCGAGAATATTTCTATATGTTTATATGATTTATTAATTATGACTTGTGCAGAAACTTGTCTTACAGATTAATTTATTCACAACTTTAAACTGAATTAGTTAATTAGCAGTGTATAAAGAAAGTAAAACTCAAACAGTTTTGGATTCAGGGGTCAAAGTTCAGAATTTTATAAAATCTGTAACAAAAATAAACCAAAAAGTTATAATTTTGAAACTTTAACAATATCAAGAATAAAATACAGTAGAACCTCTATTATCCGGACCTCCATTATCCGGATTTTCGATTATCCGGATTGTTCAAAATAAACAAAAATTTTATGAATTTACTGATTTTCACTTGGCAAATTATGATACTGTTTATGTACGTGATGGAATGCATAACTTTTTTTGTTTAAACAACGTCTCACCCGGCACAGTGGTCATAAACTCTTAAATATATTTGCGTCGTAATAAAAATATAACTTGACAGACATATATAATAAACTTATTAATTTTTACTTGATATTTATAAATAATTTATTTTTAAATTACATCATTTCTATGACCAAGGGCAGCATAAGGCATGGGCGGCATGGGCGGCATAGGCAACGTGGGCCACCGCCTATGCCTCGCGGTCCGAAGGACCTCGCGCCTCGAAGGTTTATGCATTACTTAAAAGCCGCGAACGCGACGAAAAAATTTTACTTGTAATAAAACGATAAATAGTTTGTCAAATTTATATTCATAAAAATGCAGTTTACAATGTTTTTTATTTTATAAAATCCGTTCTCTTGCGCCACCAGAGGGCCTTTTAAACAATAGGTAGTCTGTTAGCATTGATCAAAAGTAGTCTAAATTCAATACGAACGTTCGTTTTTTGAAAATTTGATCACGATTTAAATACAGTATTTAATTTTAATATTACCGATATGACATCAAAAAGAAAACGTGTTGTATTATCATTAAAACACAAATTAAGGTATTTGTTTCGATTATCCGGATTTTTCCTTATCCGGACTACCTTCATCCCCAATTAGTCCGGATAATCGAGGTTCTACTGTAT